ATCCAAATCAAAATTAATTTGGATGGACCAATAAGACACATGGAATTGGACCAGTCCAGACTTAATGGCCAAAGTATTTATTGGATTGCATTGAACTTGGTATCCCTAATGGATTTATTGGATTGGGTGAGATTGAACCAATATATGGTCCATTGATAGAAGAATACAGGTGTCAATGTACCAGGTTTGGATTAGAACAAATCTAGATTAAAATCAATTTGAAAAGATTGGATGGAATTGGACTGGTCCAAAGTATTCATCGGACTGGATTGGACCTAGTCCATTACATGTTGGACCAGATTAGATTGGACTAAATCTGGTCCAATTGACACCCCTAATTGGGGATTAAGGGGGTGGGAGATGGGCTATATATGCCATTATGTATAAGATTGTCAGTGGTATTCAAATATAACCTGATTCGATTTGAATTCAATCCATTTACACCCTACACCCCTTTAGGCTTTTATCGGTCTTTACTAACCCAGCCCCCGGCAAATGGGCATGCCAACATTTGAAAGCCAAAGCCCGTTCTAATTAGCAAAAGGTAGTAATCAATTACAAGTAGTAGATAAGATTGAACAAATAACAGGTATATACATGCATTCCCCAATCCAATCCCCACAGGAGCCTCAATGAAGAACAACAAGGAAGAGTCCCTGACCCTATTAACCCACAGATTAATGATTACAGGTGTGGAAATCAATGACAATGAGGACGAAATTAAATTCTGATTGGCTACTTGGCCTAAACGCTCATATATACCAATCACAAAACCCAGCCTGCAGCAGGTACATGATGAAGGCGACACTTTAATTATGAGCTGCCCTCCCTTTCCTAAGTACTCACTCCTTTGTAGATGGATATAGAAGATTGAGAGCTGATCGATGAGGGCTGAGGGATCCCCTCGATCGTTTTCAGTTTTCAATTCTTCATCTATCTATCTATCTATTACTACTAGTATTAATTAGTTGGCTGTCCCCCCATCCTCATGTCCTCCATTCCCATACGTTACTACTCACAATCAAATTGAGCACCGAGTTCTTGTTGAATGTTGACCCCCACTCTATACGGTATACACCACCCACTTCACATCATCATCAATACAATTCAGATCACCTACCCACACGTGCAAATACATGACCGACACCTCCTCCTTCCTATTCCTAGTCCTTGGATGATTATCTGTTTTCCTTTTGCTTACCTAATTGCTTCTTCTATTTCTCTTATATTTTATATAGTATTTAATTATATAGTATTGGTGAGACTCATTCTCTATCCTATTTGTTGTAAACCACCACAAGAAAATTTGTCCTTCTCCCCCACCCTTGACCTTTCTTCCCACTCACTCACCATCACCATCTCTCTCTCATTTGAATTAGCAACCAACTCAAGAGAAGTATTATTTATATATAGGCTAGCTGCCCTTGGGTATTTTCCTTGGTTGAAATTTGGAAAACAACTCATAAATTAAATCACCCAGCTGGATTTCCAGGATGATGTTGGAACTTGTGGTTGTCTAGTTTGATCTCAATAAGTAACCAAGTTGTGGCAGTGTCTTTGTTGGTCATGTAGTAGTAGAAACAAAAATTGACCATTTTTCCAAAATTATCTATTAGGCCTTATTCGCTTGTCATTATCTCACAAAAGTAATTAAGTTGGTCAATCGGGTAATTGATTAATTTCTATATATTCTTATGTTGATATAATGGGTCTTATGGTAAGTGACGTTGTCCGTTATCCGATCCGAGGTGTTCTGAATTGAAGATGTAGTCAGATAGCCCTGCCAACTGGATGAGGTCAACGTGGAAGGATGAAAACATGCACCAAGGTGATCTACAAGCACAAAAAGGATCAAAGGTAATGTGACGCTCGCTCAAGTCAGTAAGAGATGGGAGATTGATTGGGATGAGCTGAGGAGAGCAGGCTAGTCTAGACCGAAATGAATGCATAGGGTGTTAAAATAAGTTGGGAGTCAAAAGTCCTTTACCTTGAAGGGGAAATGCCTTTATATAGCCGAGCATCCGTATTGTAGTCAGATAAGGCCTGTAGGGTTGTCGAGGTTCCCGGGAGCTTGCCCTTTGCTTGATAGGGTGCACCTCCTTATCCTGTGTAGAACTCTACTTCCTTGGTGCACCCTCTCGCAATGCGGTTACGTTGAGTTGTGGCAACGTAGTCTGAGGAGATCGGCCACGGAAGCTGACACGTGGTAAATTTTCCGGGGAGTATTGATTACCCGGTAGATAATTGTTTGCCTGCCCGCCAAAAACGCTAATCCCCTCCACCTCTCTCTTTATCCAGGTAAATGAATACTTAGAAGAACGTTGGCATTATTCGAGAAACTTTTGCCTTAGAAACAAATGGGGACTTAGGGGGTGTTCTATAGCATAGTTTTCATCCACACCACAGGTGTAGTGTGGATGAAAGCAAACCACACTCCAACAAAGTAGTTGTTCTACACTATGGACAAAAATGTGTGAACTGATCTACACCACACCTCCATGGACGTTCTGCAAGGTGTGGTATATTTCAGTCTGCACATTGCATTTGATTCCATGCATCTCAACTACAACATTTGAGATAATCTGTCGTTAATAATTAAAAAAACAATATATTATTTTTTGTAATATACACAATAGAAAAATATTAGTAAATTGCTAAGGATTTTAATAGTTAATGAAAATAATATTAGTAATAATTAATAATATTAAATAACAAATAATGATATTAATATTAATTAAAAATGAGTAGTAATATTAATGATAACTGATAATATTAACAACAATTTTAAAAATATTTAATATTAATTATTAATATTAATAAAAGTAATATTTGAAACTTAATAATTAATAAAATAATATTAATATTAATCAATAAACATGAGTAGCAGTGGCGAGTGGTTCAAATAGAGAAGAGTAATATAGCATGAGAATAAACAAAGGATGAATACTTACTAGTTACCATCGACGATTCGATTTAGCAGTGGTCGAAGAAGGAGTCGTGAGTAGTTCAAACTAGGTTTGTTAGTAATACTCGAAAATCCAAGGCCTGATATAACATCTTATCCGATTATCTCAGATTCAAATGACGTATTTGTGTAATCGAATCGGATTCGGATGTTACAATCTACATTCAATTAATAATCGGATTGGACTCAGATTTGACCCCATCCGATCTGATTAAAATATGAAACCAATTAGTATAATATTTATTAATTTTAATATATAAGTTTATATATAATAATTTAGTATGTTATATTTATATTAGTTTATTATATATAAAAGTTGAAAAATAAATAAATTTTATTTTTCTGGTATTTTAGAAAATTTATAGCGGAGTTGAATTAAATCTAGATTCGATCCGAGTCTGTTAGGATTTGAATTCAAATCCAAGCCAATTGGATTCAGATGTAGGTTATCAATAATCAGATTGAATGTGGGTTTTGTTGCATCCGATCTGAGTCCAATCCGATTACAACCATAGTTCAAATAAAGAAGAATAGCAATGACGAGTAGAGAAGAATAGGGGTGCTCACAGTTCGATTAACCGAACCGTGGGGCTTTTTCTTGGATCGAACTGGTACTACCGATTTTTGGAAAACCGGTAACCGAAACCAGTTAGTTAATCGGTTGACTGGTTTGGTTAGTCAGTTTTTCGGTTTTTTAATTTTTATAATATATTATAAAAATATATATAAATATATAATAAAAAATTATAAATATATATAAAATATTATATTTTAATTAATAAATAATATATCGTATTATATATATTTATATATATAATGCATATTTATTAATTTATAATATATAAAATATATATAGAAATATATGTATACCGGCTGGTTCGGTTAACCGATTTTTCGGTTTGGTTTTTCAATTTTTTTTTTGCTCACCCCTAGAGAAGAATAACAACAGCAAACTCACAAAGAAGTGTTGTAACGGTAAAAAGAAAAGAGGTCTTATAATAGGGTTAAACATACATGCGAAGTATGGGATCGTTATTCCATATACAAAACGGTGTGGTGTAGATGCTTCCACGAGATAAACCTTTAGATGAGAAAATGGACTGTGGTGTGGACCAATCCATGAGATAGTGTGGATCAATCCACACTACAGCCAACAGAACGCATGGCATAGAGGTGATGTGGATTGAAACTGAATATATCTTGGCCAGCCAACACCACCGAACACCACCTTAGTGTTAGACAACAAAACTCAGCCCTGCTATTAATTAATTTCTTGAATTCCATTGATTGCTCTATAGCTTCCTCTGGTCATTGGCCAATGGCCATGATATGTTTAACATTACAGAATATGGTTCAGGGAAAATTTGATGCCTTCAGAAAGTAATAAAACAGCTACCTACGATGATAACCAGAGTATAGAAAGCTTCAAGGCTTATTGGAAAATGGCATATATATATAAGGTCTAATACAGTCATTGGATTAGATGGATTTCACGAGTGGCTTGATATCCAAGACAAACAAACATCTTCAGGCCATAAGCCCACATATACTTTGTCGAAGATCAAAAGAAAGACTTTCAATCTGTGGTAATTCTGTTAAATGGAGAAACATAGGCATTAAGATAGAATTTAAAATAATATAATAACTTCAGATTTCAGTTTTGAATCTGGTAACTTTTTAAAAGAGCAAAGCAGACATCTATATGATGATGAAGGCTACATGCAAGTTTGATAAATAAAAAGTAGTGCAATCAATCCTAACAAAAAAGCAGACTCAGTTTTCCTTTTTTATACAAGAAGTATATGAAACCGAAACCTTATTTCCTGCTAGTCATGCAGAGAAAATATATAGATGAATAAACTCATGGGGAGGTAATCATGGGTTCTGCTATTCATCTAGCATAGAAACAACGGAATTGGGTGTTAGTATAAACTGTTGTAGATGCCAACACTCCACCAATCGGTGGATGATTGGAGGGATAGAGCACTAAAAGAAATGTTAGTAAAATTATCAGATCATGCACCTTTTCTCCCAATTAATCGAGCAACGTGTGCTTTATACTTTTTTTTTTCTTCTTTTGGTGAGGGGATCTCAAATGGTGAGGGAAAATAATCCCACTTTCTATACAATCATCAGTTCTAGCACTACATACAGTTTCCTTCCAGACTTATTTTTCAGTAACCACTATTTAAAAATAAATAATCTAAACAGTTGTGAACAGTAAACAAAATTATGTTCAAATCATTGAATAAAGACAACAAGGTCTAGAGGAGGAAAAGAAGTATAGTAGATACAGTGATAGGAAATGAAAAATTTGAATTTGAAGAAATGATGGACCCTTTTCTTTCTACTTATCCTTTTGTCTCCTCTAGCACTCTTCCAGTTTCAGATGTGGGTCGTTCTCAACTTCTCTGTCAGTATTTCTTTGCTATATATTTACAGTAGGCAAAATATGTGAAATTGGGAATCCCCTAAACCTGATCAAAACTTCCAAATTATGTCGAAATATACTACTCCGCATGCAGGCTGCCAAGAATGAAACCTTAGTCCTAGAGTTTGACTATTCCAAATCAAGGCTCTTTCTCCCGGGATTCATCAATAACAGTATCTTGTAGTGATGAAAAGCTATCAAGTATATCACTTTCTGAATCAATCTGAAGCTCTTTAAACATGGCCATTACTTGAATCATGGTTGGCCTGCGGAATGGCCTGTCATCCAAGCAATCAAAAGCAATCTTAAGGTACTGAAACAGTTCAGCCTCACAAGATTTCTGTACCACAAGCTCAGGGTCGAGTATTTCATTAGCTCTCTTCTCCTTCTGCAGCTGCTTTGCCCAGCCAACCAGGTTGTTGTCATCACCAAATTCTAATGGGTCAATTGGCCTCTTTCCTGAGAGAAGCTCCAGCAGTATAACACCGTAGCTGTAGACATCACCTTTCGTAGTGCATCTGAAACTTTGGTAATATTCTGGTGGAACATAACCCGGTGTCCCTGCGAGAGTGCTTACACTGAGATGGGTGTCAAGCGCATTCATTAATCTTGCCATGCCAAAATCAGAAACCCGAGCCTCTAAATTTTCGTCCAGAAGAACATTGCTGCACTTCATGTCCCTGTGGATTATATGAGGTATGCAGCTATGGTGAAGGAATGCAAGTCCTCTGGCTGACCCAATGGCAATCTTCTTTCTTGCAGCCCAGTCAAGGTTTGAACCCCCTGCCTTGGCCCTGTCATGAAGAACCATTTCCAAGCTTCCCCATCTCATGTACTCGTACACAAGAAGCCTCTCTTCTCCAATCTTGCAGTATCCTAACAAGGGAACAAGGTTTCTGTGTTTGATCTTGCCAATTGTTTCCATTTCTGCAGTGAATTCTCTGTCACCCTGACCCGTAACATGGATCAGCTTCTTGATGGCAACAACACTCCCATCCTTCAACCGGGCCTTATAAACATCACCAAACCCACCGGACCCTATCAAGCTATCAGCACTGAAACCATTAGTGGCTTCAAGGAGATGTGCAAAAGTCAGTTTCCTCAGGGGCTTCTCAAATGTGGCAACATTGATGCTCAGAGGCTCAGGAATACCAGATAGCTTCCAGCTACTACTACCTGAAGTTGGAAGGCTTTCGATGTATGTTTCTCCCTGATCTTCCTTTCTCTGGTAGCTCTTTATCCTGATTAGAGCCAATGTAAGGCCAAGGATGCAGAATAGAGAAATCGCGATTCCAATCACCACTCCTGAAGCCATTGACTGCTTCTTCCTTGGCGGATTTAGATTCATCTGATGGTCTCCAGTGCCAGACCCACAGGGAGAAAGGGGAAGCCCACATAGGCCAGAATTGTTTTCATACCTTGATGCAGGAAATGTGGTCAGCTGGCCTGTGGAAGGGATTGGACCAGAGAGATTGTTGTTTGACACATCTAGATCACTGATAAATGAAAGTGTTCCCAATGACCCAGGGATGAATCCTTGGAGATAGTTGTGAGAAAGATCAAGGACCGCTACCTCTTTCAGGCCTCCGAGGCTATCAGGGATGATTCCTGTAAGCATATTGTGTCCCAAATTTAAGACCTGCAAGTAATGCATCGACCCAAAGCTATCTGGGATTGATCCAGACAATGAATTGTAGGACAGGTCCAGGTAAATCAGGCTGCCATCCTTTGAAAATGTGTAGACTGTCAAGCCAGTGTAAATTCTAGTAGTTGGGCAAGAATGAATCATAGGGAAACCTGCCAGCCTTTCAGTTCGGATTCCCTCAAATTCAAATAGTCCTCCAGCACCTCTGCAAGCAGTTCCACCTTCATTCCTCACAAAGGCAAACTGCTTCCCTGAAACAAGTCCAGGGATGACATTACCGGCTTGGTCGGCAAGTTCAGATGGAAGACGTCCGCTTAGATTGTTACTATTTAAATCGAGCCATATAAGGCTCTTGCATTTACCAAGCTCTGCTGGGACCTCACCAGAGAGTGAGTTGTTACCTAGTTGGAGAATAGCAAGGTTTTGGAGATTCCCAATGCCAGCAGGAATTTGTCCTGTGAGGCAGTTGCTAGAGAGAGACACCCATATCAGATAAGTGCACTTGGAAAGGGAGATAGGGATTGTTCCTGTGATAAAATTGTTGTTCAGGATCAGAGTTTGCAAATTCCCTCCATTAACACAGATTCCTTCTGGAATTTCTCCACTGAGGTTATTTGCCCACATAACCAGGTCAGAAAGATTGGGCAGTGCCCAGATTTCTGAAGGAATGGAACCACTTAGATTGTTGAAGCTAAAGTCAACTGACCTCATGTTCTTGCAGTTTCCAAGCTCGGGAGGCACTGGCCCTGAAAGAAGATTGTTGGGTAAGAGTAGTTTTTTCAGAGAAGAGGAGGAAGAGCAAAATCCAGAAGGGAAATTGGTAAACCCATTAGAGCTCAGGTCAAGCACCTCAAGCTGAGTGAGGTTCGATACAGATAGAGGCACAGGACCGGTTATGTTATTAAAAGGAAGGAGTAGGTGCCTCATAGATGGAAGAGAGCTGACCACAGTAGTGAGGAAATCTCCAGAGAGCTGATTGTTGCCAAGGTTGAGGCTCTGCAGAGAAGTGCAAGACACGAAAGCCAATGGAACCCCCCCAGTGAGAGCATTGCCTGAGAGATCGAGTGACTGAAGAGTTCGACATATTTGAGCCAATTCCGATGGAATCTCCCCTGAAAACTGGTTCTGGGCCAAGGACAGCTGCTGCATATTAACCAGTCTACCCAAGACTGAGGGAATATTATTTTGAAGCCGGTTATGGGAGAGATCTAGTTTCTCAAGCTGCAGACAATTGGACAAAGTTCTCGGAAACCCCATGCCAGAGAGGCTGTTGTGAGACAAATCCAGTACAGTAAGGTCGCCGCAGTTTCCGAACTCAATGTCCGAGAATTTCCCAGAGAAGTTGTTGTGGGAGAGGTCAAGATGCCTGAGAGAAGCCGGTGATTGGGAAACAAAAGCTGACGGAATCTCGCCGGACAATAGATTATATGAGAGGTCTAGAGTCGACAGATTCTTGCAAGATGACATATTTAGGCCACCGTCAGTCAATTTTCCCGCCAGCTTGTTGTCGGAGAAGTTGAGAAGATTCAAATTCTGGCAATTGGAGAGAGTGTAGTCCAATAGGTTGTTATCCGAGACCCGATTGCGTGAAAGATCGAGTTCCTGCAGAGAAGAACCGAAGATGAAACCAGGTCCTGCTCCAGGGATTGAATTGCGAGAGAGGTTGAGAGAAATCAAATGATGACAGCGATTCAGAAATGATTCAGAACTGATGGACTCGGAAAAGTTATTGGAGGACAAATCGAGGGTCTCGAAGTTGCATGCCAGAGAAGCTCTGCTTCTACTACTGCTGGGGGAGAGATCACCAGAGAAGAAGTTACCGCGAAGGCTGACGTACCGGAGATTTTGCAAAGCCATGAGAGAATCCATTTGGAGTTGACCGGTAAGACCGCCATTACTGAGATCGAGAGATGTAACTCGTTTCTCAGAGGAGCAGTTGATGCCCCTCCACGAGCACGGACTCGACGAGTCAAGTCTCCAGTCACCCAGAATCCCTCTTGGATCGCTCTGCACTGAAGAGTGCTTGAAATCCATTAAAGCTACCATTTCGTCATTGGCTCGGACTACAGAAAAGGATGAACTGGTTGTCGTCGAGACGAGAACCACAAAGAGAAAGCGAAGGAACACCATTGATGCTGCCCAGACCTTCAGTTCAACTGAATTTCCAAATAATTCCAGACTTGGAAAGCAAAATCAAAGAACAAAAGTGATTATGATGTTTTTTCAGCTCTTGTTCTCTCTCTATTGCTTCTGTGTTTCTACATTTCCGAGGCCTCAAGATCAAAACAGAATCGCGCCCAAGAGAATTTTGAGAGAGAATAATCTGTTCCTAAACTTGTTCTTTTATTCTTCGCTGTCTTAGTTTCTTCAGTCTCCAGAATCTCCACTCCGACGCATTTCCGAATCTTCGATGTTCCAAGTTCCAACTTCCAATTCAGGAAAAAACAGAGAAGCCCTGTCATGGTTGACAAAGTTCCCGATCAGAGTATTCCATTCAACCAAACCAAACAATGTAAGGAAAGAAACGAGAGAGACAAACGAACCTATTGTTCAATAAAAACCCGTCTAAGTGTAACTACATGCGAAGAAGCAAAGACTCGGTCATGATATCTGCTGTGTCTGGTACGATGTGATCAGAAATGTCTTCGTCAGAGCAAGTTTCTTTTTCGTAGAAATCTCCATGTATCTACAAATTTCGGATCGGAGTCGGACTTGATATCTTGCGATATTTACGAATTCAAGATTTTACTGGAGAGCTTGAAGCAAGTGAACAGATAGTAAAGAGTGAAGAGAAGGAGATGAAGGTGGAAGAGAAGAAAGAGTAGAGAGATAGAGAGAGGGCGGAGGATGCTAAGAATAGAATAGAAACAAGTTGCAGAGAACGGGGAAGAGGAAGAAAAATCGAGAATTTAGACGGGCATAGTTTAAAGAGAAAAAAAAAAAAAAAAGACTTTATCTTAAAAAAGAAGATAAATTAATAATTATGAGGGGCCATTTTCTTAATATGCGAGTCTGGTCAAACTCGGGATTTGATTCTCTTTCACTTGCACCCACCTCCACTCTTCGCCCCTTTTTGGGCCATGGCCCGGTGGCCCCTACCCTTTTCCTCTCTCTCTCTCTCTCTAAACTTCTCCAGACATCAGTGGTTTGAGTTGAGAATTTTGTTTCTTTCTATTCGGGGTTTTAACTGCATACGACGTCAGAAACAAGGGGAAGCTTTAGCCATTGGATTGGTATCAGAGGACTGTGCTGTGTCAAGACTCAAAAGAGTAGGGATCAGAATTCACAGAAATGTTCCTCCTGTTTTCGTTAAGATTTGTACTTCTTACGTCTGCACCGCACACCAACAGGGGAACACCTATGAGCCTATAATTGCCCTGATGTGTCCCTGCATTTGCATTTTGTTATTTTTGAACGGGAGTTAAGACACTCAGGGTATTTCTGTAATTATCAATATTAGCTTTATTTTTTATTTTTACTTATCCGGCAAGAGTTTGCCCCGGTAAGTTCGGTTTCTATTATACAGTACAATATATATACAAAATACAATGTTGTATTTGTACTTCTTCTAAATTGAGTCTATGGAAAATCGTGTATTGGCTTCTTAGTAAATTTGGGATAAAAATATAAAAGAGAAAAAATTTACTATCTTTGAGGAAAGAATATCATATGCATATTTCTTGTCTCTAAATTAGATAATATTGTCCTCTTTTTGTTTCTTTTAAAGAATGTTTATTGGCTTAGTATCTAATTGTAGGTTTTATGTTTTGGACGGGCTAGGGTTAAGTTTGTATGGGAAAGTCATTTGTATCTTGGACTTGGGATAAGGCGGGCTATGTACTTTCTTGTAATCTTTCTTCTTTCCTTTGATAATGGTTAATAAAATTTAAAGTGATCGTCTCTCCACTCGGTGTAAACAAGCTTGGAACAAGATAACTTTTATTCTCTCCTATAATCTTTTTTCTTCCTTTTAATAATGATTAATAAAATTTAAGATGGCCGCCCCTCCATTTACTTAGAAAAAAGATTTTTTTTTTTTATCTTTTCCTATGGAATAAACACTTTGTTTTAATTCTTTAACCAAAATATAGTTTTCTCTCTCTATTAAGCATGATCAGGTGAAACGATAAGAATAGCTGGAATTGCCTCTCGTGTATTCAACTCAATTACAACTAATTTGTTTTGTTTTTTATTTCTCCCACTTCCTACTTTTCTGTTTTTTTTAAGATAGAAAATTCAAAAGAGAATTGAGAGCAATATATTTTTAAGCAAAAATAAAATAAGGCCCATGCCCTCCTCTATATTGGTGCTATTAATTCAACTTAATCTGGTGATGGTGAACAAAATGGTAATACCCAAAAACCAGTACTGAATCAGCTGCCAGTTTTTTGTTTTTCTCGGTCCAAGAATCAGCTGCCAGTGCCAGTTTTAGGACCACTTATACCCTTTATGTTTATATTATTATATACACAACCATGTTGGTGATTCCCCCTTTACGGCTTTACCCCCCCC